AATGACAAAACAAAGCCATTAAGCTGGAAAGTTTCCCAGTGCAGAACAATCAATAAACAAGAGTACTAAAAGCCAGTCACAGCTCTTCAGGAAAGGCAGCAGCCAAGGGCAATGTTAAGTTGAAAGAACAGAGTCATTTTGCAAAACGCTACAGAAGAGGATCACTGAACCTGGTATAAGAATCATAGCAACACTTACAAAATGCTTTAGGGTTTGCAAAGCACTTTACACATATTAACTTATTTGATCCTTGTAACAGTCCTTGTAGATGCTATTATTATCCCCATTTTATTACTGAGGAAATTGAGGCAGAGATTAAGTTAATAATATTTCCCCTTTTTTATAGAATGTCAGGCTCTGTGCTAATCCCTTTACATCATTATCTCATGTGGTCCTCACAACTTTGAAAGGTAGCTGCTTTTCAGACTTTACAGATAAGAAAATTAAGGAAAGCAGAAGTGAAGTGACCTTCCCAGGGTCACACAATTAGTTAAGGGTCCGAGGTCAGATTTATGTTAATGTTTCATTTTTCCCAATTATACATAGAAACAATTTTAACATTCTTTTCAGATTTTGAGTTCCAAATTCTCTCTCTCTCTCTTTCTCTCTCTCCCCTCCCCATTGAGAAGGCAAGCAACTTGACATCGGTTATATACATGTGGTCATGCAAAACACATTTCCATGTAAGTCATGCTATGAAAGAAAACACAGACAAAAAACCCCCCAAAAACCCAAGAATAAAGGAAGTAAAGAAAAAGTATGTTTGATCTGCATTCAGGCTCCACCAGTTATTTCTCTGGAAATCTGAGGCCAGATTTTAGCTCAGGTCTTCCTGACTCTAGGACCTAGTCCTCTATCCATCGTGCCACCCAGCTGCTCTTTAATTTCCCCTAACTCTCCTCCAAATAAAAAAAGGGAGGGAGAGTCCGCAAGACAAGGAAGGCAGATGGATGACCTGGCAATAGAACTTCTGCCTTCCTCATCTCTTTAAAATTTTGATAGAAATTGTCCATTCACTGAAACTATCAATAATAGAAATATTAAAAGGAAACAGTCTTTCAAAACTATTTTCCTAAGCAGAGTGCATGTTTGCAATCGTTCAACTAATGTAAAGAGGATTTCACTCCATTTTGATGTTTTAAAAAGCTTTTGACTGTATAACAAAACAGAACTTTGAAGGTTGTTCTTTAAGACTTCTCCTACATATGCATTCAAATTCGTCAAGACTGTGATATGTGACTCCAAGTCATGTCATCCTCTCCCTGATGCCCACAGTCCACTTCAAGAACAAAGGACAAGCCACACAACCACACGATCTAAGGGGGAAATTCCCCAGCTCTGAGAGGTACCAGTGGTGGACAGAAGCAGCAGGTGGTCAACACATCTGTAAATAATCAGATCCCTCAAATTAACAACGGTCAGCAGACCTGCAGAATCATCCAAAGACAGCCGAGAAGAGACACCCAGAAGAAACCCAGCACACAAAATAAGCACGGACTCCTCAGTTCAGAGGGGCCAGAAGCACTGGTACTTCTCCCACCCAAAACACCAAGATTTACAATGGATTTATTCCATATGGAAGATACACATAAGAGCATCCCCAGCCCCAATTACACACACACACACAATTGTTCTCTATATCTGGCAAAATGATGCTCAGGATATCTTGCAGTTTTGAGACCCCAGCAATATCAGATAATAAATAAAGCATTTGGGAACTGTCACACTGGTCTAAACTCAAGCACAGAGGCAGCTGTCTCTATATAACATCATTCCAAAATGGTAGGGGATGGTACACTCAGAAGTTACTCAGGATATGGATCAAGTACTGACCTGCTTGGACTCTCAGTTCATGGAAACAAAAGTCCCCTTAACCTTGGTTGCCCAGAGAATTAGGATCGCCTGATGAATCTACTTGGGAACTTAGACAGAAGTGGGTTCTCTTCAACCATTCCTGGGACATAAATTAGAATTGTCCAGGATGAGAAGGAACAGAGACATTGACTCCTACACTGGTGAAGAGCATATCTGAGCCAATCAGATTTTCATAATCCTACAGAGATGTGATTTTATCAAAGGGAGTTGTGTCTGGAGGATGGTAAACAAGATGAGAAGATCACTTAAAACCACCTGTTATAAGGAAGGCTTATGTCACTGTTGGCATATATTGTCCCAAATGCCTGAAGGGCAATTCTTCCCTTAGATTCCTTCAAGGCTCAGCTCAGGTATAGCCTACACACAAGACCTATTCAGGAAAGCAAGATAACACAGAGCATTGGGCCTAAAGTCAAGAAGATACCAGTTCAAATTTGACCTCAGACTCTTACCAGCTGTGTGACCACGGCAAATCAACTAATCTCTGATTGCCTCAGTTTCCTCCTTTGTAAAATGAGGATAATAATAACACCTATCTTCCAGGGTTGTTGTGAGAATCAAATGAGGTAACAAATTGTAAAACACTTACAGTGCCTGGCACATAAAAAGCACTATACAAATGGTAGCCATTATCATTATTGTCATTCTGATCCTCTCAGTTGCTGCTGTCCTCAAACCCCCCCCCCCAGAAATTGGCATTTACTTAATTTTACTTTAATTTTTAATTAATTTTACTTAATTTAATTTTTTAATTAATTTACTTTTACTTCAATTTAGCTAATTGGTATTTACTCTACTGTGTAGATGACTTCCCACCCTCCAAATAGGATGTAAATTCCTTGAAGCAAGGGGCTAGTTCTTCCTACTTAAGTCCAAATGACCTATTATAGCACTCCATACACACACTTAATAAAAGTTAATAGGTCACACATAGTTAAACATTTCTTCTTCCATGGAATTCCTATGCTGAACATGCTTGGGAAAAGATGTTTTTTTCATCTGACAAGTTAAACACAAAATGAAGGCACATCATGGTGGCATTTATATAGATATGAAACTGATACTTACATAGTATTTACTATGTATACGGTGCTAGGAACTTCACAACCATTATCTCATCTGATCCTCACAAACAACCCCAGAAGCATTTGTGCATATTCACATTTTAAACATGACACATTCTAACTGCGTCCTTTTCAGAACTTACCAATTTGAGAGAAAATTAAAAGGATATAAGACCACAGGCATTCTACTCATTAGTGTAAGAATTAATAAAGTCTTAAATTCACTGTACCCTCACTTTTTTTAAAATTGTACATTTTGGTTCCTCACAGTTAATTGGGTTAATAAGTCTTTCTTTCACCCTGGCCTCAAAGGCCAGAAAAGGTCAGCTGAGCCAAGCTAAATGAAACCAAAAAAACCCAGAAAATTAACAGAAAAAAAAATGAAAAGTTAGAAAACCTCATTTAGGTCTTTTAAATATCCAACTAATTGATTTTGTAATGAAAATTATTGCAAAAATATTTATTGGTAGTTTGAAATACTACATATCATGGTAGAATTAAAAGATATTTCTTTCTATTTAATAATAATCATTACATTTAAAGTTTATAAAGCACTTTACATTCCTCATCTCATTTGAGTAGACACTGGGTATTGGGTAGACAATACAGGTACCATTACCTCATTTTTATATATATGTGTGTATGTATATGTGTGTATATATATATGTGCGTATATGTGTGTGTGTATATTTATTTATTTATATATGTTTTCCCCAATTACATGTTAAAACAATTTTTTAACATTTTAAAAAAACTTATGAGTTCAAAATTCTATCCCTCCTTACCCCCTGAAATGGTAAGCAATCAGATATAGGTTATACATGTTCAATCATATAAAACATTTATATGTCATTTTGTACAAGACAAAGAATGAAAGAAACAAAATGAAAAATAGAATGCGTTAGTCTGTATTCAAAAAATATCAGCTCTTTCTCAGGAGGCAGATAGCAAGCTTCATCATCAGTCCTTTGGGATTGTCTCAGATCATTCTGTTGTTGAGAATAGCAAAATCATTCACAATTCTTCATCACACAATACAATATAGCTGTTACTGTGTATGATGCTCTCCTGGTTTTGCTCACTTCACTTTGCATCACTTCATATACATCTTAACAGGAAGAAAGTTAGCACTAGGAAGTTAGGTGACTTGCCTCCATCACACAGCTAGTAAGTGTCAGAAGCAGTATTTATTTTGTTCAACATTACCCCATTACATTTTTATCGGTTTCAGGACTGTACTCAGGAATTGTGGCTCCTCCAGGCCACCAGTTTGACAACTCTGTTCTATATGATTCAAGAGGGTGAGAAAAATACCTTCAAGAAAATCAAACAACTGCAACTCAAACTGATTTGCTCTGGTAAAAAACAAACAAACATACTGAAAGAGGGAATACTTTAAGGGCTTTCCCAAACTTCCTTTAAGTCCCAACTAAGATACTACCCTTTCCCCAATTGCTCTTAATTCCAATGCCTGTCCTCTATTAATCATTTCCTATTTATCCTGTATATAGCTTGCTATGATTATATGTATCTGAATGTTGCCTGCCCTATTGGATTGCAAGCTCCTTGAGTGCAGGGACTTCTCTTTGTTACCTTTTGCATCCCTGGTACTTAGCACAGTGCCTGGCACATAGTAAGCACTTAATACATGTTTGCTGATTGAAGTACAATATAAAGAGCTGTAGTGAAAAGTGAGTAATTAATTGTTGGGTTTTCCCTTTAGAAAAGAAAGACTGCCTGTATCATAAAATAATTGGGTTACACGCAATGATGATCTTCAAGGTAGAAAGAACAGGGATACACTTTAATAAGCTATCAAGAAAGATTATTATATATAATGTCTTCTCTGGGCAAAAGAGATTTTCATGCATCTCACATGATTTGGTTATTAATCTGGAATGACCTGACATGAATTAAGTCAACTTTATACCAAGAAACTGTTTTACAATACATTTTTATAGTTTTTGCTTTGTTTTTAAAGTAAATTGACTCTATCACCACCACCTTCCATCTAAGCATCCTCCCCTGCCCCCCAGAGTATAGATAGGGAATCCTGCGTACGTTCTTTTGACATGTTGGTGAATTTCATGGAATTCTTTTCTTCCTCCTCTTCTTCATTCTTTAACCCTGAAAAGGTTTGAGGAAGTCATAAATCAGAAAATATAAGTGATGGAAAACCAAAATATATCAATAAAATTATCTTTTAAAAAACAAACTCATTCAACAAATAAGTGTTCAGATTTTTTTCTAAAGGTCCTCCTAGCATTCTAAAGCAGGAACTTTGCCTTCTCCTTGACCCATCCCAAGTTATTATCATCAGCCTACCTCCAAGAACATAAAGATAAGGCCCAAACTAGGCCTCAATAATAATTCTCTTTTTATTCAAAATGCTCTCCCACAAAATTATTTTGTACATATCCCAGGGTGACTATCTGGAAGTTTTGAGGAAAAATATATTGTGCTCCTTTCAGCTTTTCAAGAAAAGAAAACTATTAAAAACCAAATGAATTTTAAAGATTAAAAGTTCATATCTGGCTGCTCCTAAAGGAAAAATAACTTCTTCCTTAAACATTAGGAAAGCTACATACGAACACAATTCCAGACCTACTTCACTTAAAGGAAACTCATTAGAATAAATAATAAATGTTACTAAGGAACCTTTTGCTATTTCTTTATGCAAACAGAAGCCAAGTCTCCAAATCCATCATAAAGAGCATGGAGACAAACCAAAACAGACAAATCACATCCTACCTATGGAGACTCTTAACTGAGCCAACCAGCCTAGACTTCGCACAAGACAAAATCCTTTAAAACCCCAAACTTTTAGCTCTTCCTGGTAATAATGTAAGCTGGGACACAAATAAAGGCATAGGTTGAATTCTGAAAGCCATTCAGCATTTAGAAGACTTGCCTTTCTATGCCATCAATCCAGCGTGAAATAAATGGAGCTTGGAGTCATCTGCAAATACTCAAATGGCTCTGTACCGTCATCAATTCAGAAGTTCCTGTCATCTATTCATGTCATAACTGACCCAAGTCTGTCCTATGTGACTCTCTTCCACGTCCTCCCTAAAGTTTATCACAATGGTTCTACCCAAGATGAGGGAAGCCTTCTTCACTTTCTCGTGACATCTCACAAGGGCCAGTGAAGAAATCTAGCCTTGTAACTAGCAACATGATCAGTCCATCTTCTCTTCCTGTCATATAATTCCTTGATGACAACATCCGTTCCTGTTGTTCAGATTAATTCAACAACTATATATTGCAACCTCCTCACACCCAAAATGCACTTTACCAACACCCTCTGTATATGAAAACAAAAGTAAAATGTTAGTACTGAAACTAAGGGCCTTTACTGCTATAGAAAACACTGGGTAAATAAAGGAGCCGTGCAATTTCCCTAAAGTAGTCCAGCTTGCTCTTCTTTGGAATTCTGGCCCAGCTCACTGTTCTTTGGCATTGTTTGTCCCAGAGACATATGCTATGATACAAGCTCTCTAGGGTATCCATTCAAATGCACCTCGATAGAAGAGCAATAAACATTTTTCATCCATTTGGTCTTTCTTCTGTGGACGGATGGGTGAAACTCATTTGAGCTACTACAGATTTTTTCCAAGAGACTCTTCTTAGGATTTGATATGGTCAAAACAATGCCATCCCCAAACAGTAGTATCTGGAGGACCTCACCATCCACCAAGAATCTTCCTCCACCTGGATCTGTTCCATCACAGTGGTAAATACTTTTAATAAGCATACATCTCCCTCTTTTATAAGCTGCCTGATGGAGTATATCAAAGAACCATTTCTGTGGTGACATCTTCTAAGGAGCTTTTAATGATGTCAATACATGGATTGGAACAGGGGTGTGCTGGAACTAGCTTACGCTGGCTCAAGGGAGATGACTGTTAAATTTTTAGTGTAGGTTTTCACACCTTGGAAATAGGAAACTGCTACAAACCAGGACTTGATTTACTGCTTTGCTGATTGTCAAAGCTTAAAGAAAGTGGTGGAGAAAATATGAATACTGATGATTAAACTTAAACGTGTGCTATTATTATACAGATGAGGAAACGGAGGCTGAGAAAGGTTAAGTGACTTGCCCGAGGTCACGTAGCTAGCAAAAATCTGGGAACCCATTCGAACTCAGATCTTCTGACTCCCAAGTCCAAGGTTTTATCTTCTGTACCACCTGGATGACTCTCACAGCTAATACTATAAGGAGACTGGCCTAGAAGATCTCTAAACTCTAAGATCATTTCTATTCACCCTATTTAAGAATGACTATCAGGGGCAGCTAGGTGGTGCAGTGGATAGAGCTCTGGCCTTGGAGTCAGGAAGACCTGAATTCAAATCCGGCCTCAGACCAAACACTTGACACTTACTAGCTGTGTGACCTTGGACAAGTCACTTAACCTCAACTGCCTCATCAAAAAAAAAAATGACTATCAGTAGGGTCTTAGCATCATTAAATCCCAAAGACGGAAAGTATCTCAAAGGACATCTGTTCTAACTTTACACAAACTACATACCTTTCTTGGTATGCAGTTAAAACTCAATACCTCCCAAAGGCAGTCAATTTAATCTTTTGGTATGTCTTATTTAGGAAGTTTTCTCTATATTTAGCAGGATTCTAGATCCCCAGAACTACCATGAAACATATTTCTTGTTAAATCTGGCTACACTATGATACCAATTCTGCTAGCTCCTTGACTCATCACTCCAAGGAGAGTGCCATAACCATCCTTCCACTGCATTGCGTCTTTTGGTTTCATTTATAATGACAATATCAGTATAAATAAGGTTCAGTTCTGCCAGTAGTATTTCAATTTTCTCATCACTGGACCAAGAAACCAAAAGCTAAATTCACATTACAATATAAGAACCACATGACTCTTTAGCAGCCTCTTTCATCCTTTTGTCTCCCTATCACTAAAGAATTGCAATATGAGTCATTTTATATTTTTATCCATTACATGGACTGCAATGGCCAAAAATAATCAATAATAATCAATGCCAACTTTAGGATAGTAACTTTTTGTCTTTAGACAAGAGATACATAATTTATAGCTTGCCCCGTATTCAATTCCTGTCCAGTTTGGCAGAACTATAGAAAAGGTTTGTTAACTGTAGGTCTGGGAATTTGTTTTTTGAATATTTTGGTAATTGTATTTCAATATAATTGATTTTCCTTGTACTCTTACATACTGTATTTTATAAGTTTGAAAACACAATTCTGAGGTGAAATCTTTTGGCTTCCAGACTGACAAAAAGATAACACAAAAAAGATTAAGAATTCCTGCTATAATTTTCATCCTACTAAAACAGCCCTTGGATAAACTCAGGAAAAACCTCCACATGATGATGGGCATCACAGTAGTACCTTAGAGGAAAATGAATAACAAGATAACACTCATAATCCATAGTCCTGCTTCACACATTTTTATGCACTGATAACCTCTACATTTAGACACCATTAAAATATCATCATTGTTTTGGTTTGGTTTTTTTGTTGTTGTTGTTTTTGGCTTTGTTTTGTTTTTCATTTCTTTCATCTTACTTAATGAAATATATTCCTAGGATGGCTGGAGAACTGAAATAAAAAGTATGGCAACACTAGTTGATTTCAAAGTAAGAGAGTATTAAAGTTTTAAAATTCACATGAAAATTAAAACAAATGATATGAGAATACACTGGACCTTCACTCTAATTTTGTTGTTGTTCAGTTATTTTTACAGTCATGTCTGAAATCTTCATGACCCCATTTGGGGTTTTCTTGGCAAAGACACTGGAGTGTTTTGCTATTTCCTTCTCCAGCTCATTTTATAGATGAGGAAACTGAGGCAAAGAGTTGCACAGCTAGTAAGGGTCTGAGTCCGGATTTGAAGTAAGGAACTAAGTCTTCCTGACTTCAGGCCCAACACTCTACCCACTGCGTTATCTAGCTGCCTCTAATACTTTTCACTAAAGAATATTAAATTCACTACAGTTTAGTTACAAAAGAGACTTCTTGTAAGGGGGGAGGAGAAGGTCTCCCTTATATAGGTGATCTCACAAAATGGATTCTAAGACTAAGGCTGTGAAAATGATACATTGTCAGTATTTAAGCATGTAATGGTTCATTGAAACACTATTTGTGAATATTAGAAAAAAAAAAGGAAATCAATGTAAAAAGAATCATATTGGTTTTGCCTTTGTGGACTTTAATATCCTTCTCTAGCTAAGATATTAACTAGGATAAAAAGGCATCTCAAAGAGAACAATGCAGACACAGTCCACTGTCAGCTGGGACTAGAGTGAACACGTAAAGTTCCAACTAGCTTTCCTCAAATAGTGAGGAAACCAAGTAGGGCAAACATGTCCATGGACATAAGGCAAGCTTTTTAACAACCTTTTTTGCAAACGCACATAAAAGCTGGAAAATTCAACTCTTGATGACACATATTTTGTAACCCATCAAGTCACATGTTTCACTGAAGAATTCAGCAGCTGGTAGACAGTAACACACAGGGGTAACAATTTTGAAACTCTGCCTAGGGTACACAAACACTCTGTCCCAACTCTGATAGACATTTATTTTCCAAAAATTTGTGATTGTCATTACCCAGAAAGTCAGCTAAGAACTCTGACAAAAGACTCAGAGGATCATATTCAAAGGGCCTTCTTGGAAGGCTTAAAAAAGGCATTTAGTGAGCCCCATTTTCAAAGTCAGCATTTAAAACTAATCCTTAGAAATAAGTTAGGCAGTTGGGAAAATGCATTTATGTTCTCTTCAAAATTTAGCAAACTATTGCTTCAAAATACTATGCCTTCTCATGGCTTAAAAGGCTTACTATGACTTCCAAAGTTACTTGAGTCAATGGGAGAATCTGACTCATAAAGATCTCCATGTGTGTAAGTATGTGTATAGGTATGGTCAAAGTGGTAGAAGGAGGAAGAGAAAGGAAGGAAATAAGTGTTTATTGAGTACCTACAATATGGTAGGCATTATGCTAAGTGCTTTACAAAAATTATCTCATTTAAACAGGATATAGACAGTTTTCAAAACAATTGCAATAAAAAACCTTATAAAAATTATTCTAACTCATTAGAACTGAAAAATGTAAATTAATAAAATACATAATTATTTG